ATAAGTGCAAGAGAAATATTAGTCAAAGCAAATCCACATAATTAATACACTCAATTTTTTATGGTCAGATCGATGATGCTGTAGGTTAAGTCCCTAGTGGACTTTATTGCATACTTGCATATCAGTAGCAATATGAAAGAAAATAAAATTAGAAATTATAAGTTCGAATCAAATATTGATTCAGAAAATTAAATAGCGATCGATCGGAGCTGATCACCCCTGTCTAATTCGCCTGTGTGCCGCTCGCTGCTCAGATGGCGAAGGGGCACGGTCTCTGGCTGCTGATCAATACCGTCATGTGCAAAGTCGTCGTAGAGATGATGAGATCGAAACGTGCAAATGTAAGATTATTCAGACAGTAGAAATGGGAGTGGACGGAGTACTGGCTTTGAGATCGACGTGTCACTCGTTCATTCCCAAGAAGCTTTGGTTCAGCACATAATTATATTACTGTACATTATATGGTGGCCCCAACGGCAACGCAAGATTGATCGGGCGGCACTCTGGGCTTTATGAAACCCACGAGAATCTACGGTCATCCTCCGTATCTTAATGTATAACGCCGTTGACTTTTCGACCAACGTTTGACCATTCGTTTTATTCAAAATTTTTGTGTAAATATCAAAATATTTATGTCATGCTTAAAGAATATTTGATGACGAATCAAGCCACAATAAAATAAATGATAAATACATAAAATTTTTGAATAAGACGAATAGTCAAACGTTGAAAAAAAGTCAACAGCGTCGGACATTTAAATATGGAGGTAGTAATATATTAGCATATTAAATTAAGAGTGATTTTACCATTCTTGAAAGGTACTAAATGAGACTCCCTCATTCCAAAAATCTAAGACGTATTTCTTTTTCATCAAAATCAAGAAACAATTAACTCACTTACCATGTGGCAAAACCAATAAACATGTAACCAATAAGTACTAGAATGACTTTTTATTTTCGATCAGCAATTTAATTTAGCATATACTCCCTCCGGTTTCATTTTAATTGACGTTTTGGACAATGACACGGTCTACAAGATACATCTTTGACCTTATTTTTCTATTATAATATATATAATAAATAAATGCATGTTTACTTTTATTATAGCACTTTAAAAGACAAATCTATATGCTGTTCTAGTTCTTTTAAACTAAATATTTTTAAAGTTATTGATAGTCTAAGTTATAAAAGTTTGACCTCAACCTTATTCAAAACGTCAATTAATATGGAACTGGAGGGAGTAGTGACTACAAATAGAACTTAGATTTTTGGAAAAACCAAAGAATGAAATATGTGTCAGATTTTTGGAAGGAGAGAGTACCATAGTTAGCTTCTATGTAAAATTTAGTACATCCTCCGGTAAATAGGTAACTCGAGGTACCAAACTTTTTATTGTAAAATCTTGACACCTCTATGTACTTATTTAAGAACCATAAAATTTGATATTTGCTCCGGTCAAACAAAAAGTACCTCGAGATACCAGTACCTCACGATACTAAATCGTTTTCGATCATTGGATCTCGCTGGGCAGGATGGGCATTAGATCCAATGATCGAAAACTATTTGTACCGTGAGGTATCGGTTCCTCGAGGTATTTTTTGGTGGACCAGAATAAATCTCCTAAATTAATGGTTATATTTTTTTTTTGTTAACGCGTGAATGCTCTAGAAAGTGTCCGATTAGATTCTCTAAGTTACTTGTGCATGGAAACAAATGGGTATTGGTGCATGCATATATGTACATACAACCCTTCTACAACTGACATTTATGAGTTGGTTTGCTAGTAGCTAGGAAGCAGCAAGAATGGTGCGTATGAATCGAGTTTACTCCCTCTATTTCAAATTGATCTACATATAGTTTTTTTAAGGTTACTAGTTAGGTGCCCGTGCGTTGCAACGGGTTTAATAAAGTATATCATTTATATATTGCATAAAAAGGTGAAATGATATTCTTTATATATATTGAACAATGTAACAATGTAGGTGTTAGAACAAAATCCAACATGCATGGCTAGAGCATCCCTCCAATGGGAGGAAGCCCAAGCTTAGCCCTGTGAGGATCACAAGAGTGAATGGGAAAGAAAGAGAATCGATGGAATGGGGGAAAGATCCCTCTCACTTGTCCTTGGAGGGCTCCTTTTATTCATATGAACGGGAAATTACATCTTTGCTCTTAATTAGCTACATATATACAACATCCTTTTAGAGGTATTTCAGTCCTTTTATACATTAGTTTATACAACATTCTAAGTATGGGGTTATTCCCCAACAGTACCCCCTCATCTGCCTGCTCCGAGGTTCGGGGGGAGCAGATGATTTCCAGCCCCTGCTTCTTAGGGTGTTGATCTATGCCTGCATTTTGCATCGGATAACCTCACGCTCAGCAAAGGCCACACTGAAAAGGCGGCGCCGTCTTGAGCTCTTGAGATGTGGAGTCCGGTCCACCCCCTCTAGCGGTGAAAGCCGCGGTGCTCGACGGAGGTACCACTGTCCGGAGCCCGCGAGAAATGGAGGTCAGTCCAACCCCTCTGGCGGTGAAAGCCGCGGTGCTCGACGGAGGCAGCGCCGTCCGGAGTGCGCGAAGGCGAGTGCAGGGGGTGCCGCGCGAATCCGCGTGTGACCGGTGGAACTTGGCTTTAAGGCCGGTGTGGCCGGCGGAGCTGTGCGGGGCCAGCGGAAGGACTGTGGAGTCCGCCGGCGTGAGCCTCTGCGCCGTGGCGTGGTTCGACGGAAGGGGCCAAGCCGGAGGCAAAACGCGCCACACGGGGCCGGCGCTGGGCGTGAGTCGGCGGAGGGTGTCGCCCGCGGAGTCTTGGCCGTAGGCGCGGGGGCGGCTTCACGCAGCGAGGCCGGCGTAGGCCGCTTAGCGATTACGCACGACGCGAAACCGCTTCCGCATCCATTGAGTCGTGCTGTCTTTCTTGTCTCCTTTTCTCCTTCTTCTTCTTCTTCTTCCCTTTTTTTTCATCATGAACAGTGTCATGCACATGCATGCAGCATGCGCCGTGCATGTGGACGTGGATTTTCATCCCTCGAAGGGACATCCCCCGTTGTTTGTATGTGTTTGTATGTTATATAAATAGTTATCAAAAAAATTGAAAAAAATTGACAACATAGATTAATACGAAATATATCACTCCACAAACATGCAAAACCAAATTCAACTTATATAAGATGCAACAAAAATAACAAATTAAACTGAAAATAGTTACGGCATATTCATAACTATATTCGTTATTTTTGTCACAACTTGTACAGGTTGAATTTAAACTTACATGTTTGTGAAGTGATATATTTCATATTAATCTATGTTGCCAATTTTTATCATATTTTTTTATGACCTATTTAGGTGACATACATGAAACGAGTGGATATCCCCTCGAGGGATGATTTCACTTTCCCCGTGCATGCCACTTACACTCGCAGGATGGGAATCAAATGCATGTGCATGCAACCGAACCACACGAGGGCGGAAACCGCTTCGGTCTCTATCGACGCGGAGATGGCGACTCGCGACAAAGGCGACCGTGGGGCCGGCTTGCCCGCGCGGAGGTGGCGAAGCCGCGACCGAGTCGGCGGAGGCGACGGAGCCACGCGGGTCCACGGGAGTTGGCGGAGACGCGCGGGTGCGCGGGGCCGACGGAGGTGGTGGACGCGGTGCAGGCTTGCGCGGCCATCGGCGGCGATGGAGCCGCGCGTGCGCCGGCGGGGGCACGCGGGGGCGCGGGGCCGATGGAGGCGGCGGAGCCGTGCGTGGGCCGGCTGAGACGGCGGCGACGCGATGGAGCCGCGCGCGCGATGCGGAGGAGGAAAAATCATGGGGGAGGAAAGCCAGAAAAGCGAATCGCGTGCGATGGGATCTCAGCACCGTCCAATGTCCCGATCCAACGGATAATATCACGCGTGTCTGTCAGGGTTGAAGTCACCGCCACCACTACGGAATTTTAAAGTCGTAGTAGATATTCCTAAATGATCTACATATTTGTGTTCATTCATTAAGTCTATTTGTTATTTGTGCATTGGAGTAAATGGACACATTGATGCATGCATCATGTATACAAGTATTTATAACCCACATGCAATATCTTGATTTGCTATTGGCTAGTAAATAGTGGGGATGGTGTATGCATCGAGTTTGTTGTTAGAGTAAATATAGTATGAGAGAGTTATTAGCTTTTCTTGATCTTGGTATACTATGAAATATGTAGATCAATTTAAAATGGAGTGAGTATTATATACAATATTGGAGAGGTATTGGCTTTTGTTAGAGTTGATGCACTGCTTTAATGCGATGATCAATTGGGAGCTGAGGCAGTGCTTAATTAGGAACGGAGAGAAGAACCTCTGTAACTCGCCCACTCTGTTTTTTTTTTCCCTGCAGGAACATTGATAACGGCAGCCCAGGAAACAGTTCTTGCTACTCCCTCCGTTCTAAAAAAGTGTAGTTTTAGCGCTGTTCATGTCTAACGTTTGACCGTTCGTCTTATTTAAAAAAAAATATGATTAGTATTTTTATTGTTATTACATGATAAAATATGAATAGTATTTTATGTGTGACTAATTTTTTTAAAATTTTTTATAAAATTTTCAAATAAGACGGACGGTCAAAACGCTAAACGCGGATATCTATGGCTGCACTTATTTTGGGACGGAGGTAGTACAGCCTAGAGGCTAAGGCTAGAGTACAGATAACTCCCGTTTCATCACGGAACTCCCGTTTTTTTGGCGTTAGATGTACTTCCTGATCTGGTATAAATTAAAATAAGAAAATATATCTCGATCGCCAACTAAGTAGTAATTCCATTGACCTCGAAGAAGCTGATTAATCCCAAGCCCAAATTTAAATTCGAGCAAGCAGTTGACTCTAAAAACAAAAATCCTCGGAAGTCGTGGTGGTCAACTGACTTCACGTTCAGCTAGCTAAGCTGTGGTTACAGTGGAATTAATTGCTAACCCTAGCAAACGCTTTATAAGCCGAGCAGCATCCGATCGGCATGGGACAAAGTGCAATCTCAGGGTCGCGTGCGTTCTCAAGGGTGCAACACTGCCGCCATGGCGAGTCCTGTTCCTCCGAAAGGTACTTCTTTTTTTCGATATGAAGCTCTTTCTATGATCATCACGTATAGATCGAGCTAGCTAGTCTATTAGGATTATTTTCTCGTTTTCCTTACTTAAAAGAAAAAAAAAAGGAGCAGGGTGCCTTTTCATTGTAAAAGGTGAATCTCGTCCCATGCAGTATGCATGTTTACCTCCTCGCCCGCGAGGTTTGCCGAGAGGAGTTCAACTCGTTAGGCCTCCTTCAAAGGTTGAGACAACTGTTAGCTCATAGATCGTACACATCATCTAAGAGATAGAACAAGAGATAGTTTCTCTAATGAACTGTCTCTAAGGTTATCTCTTCTTGCTTTTATGGCAGCATGGGTAGTAAATGACATGGTGATAAACTACACAATATCTCTATGGTCCTTCATGTGATGCTATTCAAAAGATCTGTCGATTAAAAATGAACATCTCATCATAGTGTGAATATAGATAAATAGCACAACATCGACTTAGAGTATATTTAGCATTAAGTGCAATTCTTCCAACTCACGGTCCACTACAGCAACCAGATAACATCATAGCCATATCATGGCACTTTAGTACAATGCGGAAAAGAGCAAACTGAAGGGAAAAAAAAAGACTGCATCACGTCACACAAGTGATAGAAGAGTTCGACAACCACCAAAAGCTGGACAGCAACCAGAAGTGCTTATCCCATTCCTTGAACAAGATCACCAAAAGCTGGACCGCAGCCACAAAAACAAGTGAAAGACATCGAATCTGTTCGCCCCTGGTAGAGAGAAAAACATGTACAGTAAGTGAAAGTGATGAATACAGTCAGTCTAAAATAAAATTACAATGAAATTGTACACTAGAGCTTACATTATACTGAAATAACAGTGACTAATTATTTTGCCTAGTTTGAAACCGTTGCCAAATATGCTCAATTAAGTCATTTTTAAGCTGGCTATGGATTGGTTTGGCTCGGATAGAAGCATTTCTTTGCCGCACATCGCTGAAGCTTGGGTGATCATTACTCCCTGCATGAACTTCTGGTGGAAGAACAATTGATGTTCCTGGGGCAGCATTCAAGTCAATAGGATCTTCTGCCATTTCTCCCTCATCTTCCACTATCATGTTGTGGAGAATTACACAAGCTTGCATGATTTTTCGAAGAACTTTTTGGCTCCATGATCGTGCTGGACGATGCACGATGTTGAAGCGAGCTTGCAACACCCCAAAAGCACGCTCAATATCTTTCCGTTTCCCTTCTTGTTCCCTTGCAAATAGCTTGTGCTTGTCTAGTTAAGGAGATCTTATAGACTTTACAAAGGCTGCCCATTCCGGATAAATTCCATCAGCAAGATAATATCCCGTGTTGTATTGTGTCCCATTGACAGTAAATTGGATTTGGGGAGCTTCACATTTTATTGCTTCAATAAACAGAGGGGACTGATTGAGCACATTAATGTCATTGTTGGACCCAGGAATACCAAAGAATGCATGCCAAATATGAAGGTCATATGAAGCTACAGCCTCAAGGATAATAGTTGGATACTTTTGGTCACCTCGGGTATATTGTCCCTTCCATGCGGTTGGGCAATTTTTCCATCGCCAGTGCATGCAGTCAATGCTTCCCAACATCCGAGGGAATCCACGAGACTCTCCAACTTGGAGCAAACGCTCGAGATCCTCAGCCGTGGGGCGACGCAGGTACCTACTACTAAATACCTCGACGACACCTTCCACAAAATTTTCTAAGCACTCTAGAGCAGTACTCTGGGGAACCTTCAAGTACTCATCAAGAGTGTCAGCAGCAGTCCCATATGCAAGCATACGGATCGCTGCAGTGCACTTCTGCAATGGTGAGTGCCCAAGGCGTCCAGTACAATTTATTCTATGTGTAAAATAGGAAGACCACTTGCCTAGTTCATCCACAATGTGTAGGAACACATGCCTTCTCATCCGGAACCTTCTACGGAATGTTGCAGCAGAGTAGAGAGGATCTTTAGCAAAATAATCAGCAAATAGTTGATCATGGGCTCCTTCATGGTTCCTATTGATGTACTTCCTTGGACCACTTGTACGCCTAGATGTACCTCCTTCCAGTCTGGCCTTAATCCTTTTGTCGATCCGCCCGGCAAAAGAGTTAAGGACACTATGCTCTGCCATGAACATATCTGTAGTGTAAACCTCGGCTGGGTCTATGGAATCGTCAGACTCATCCGACATGTTTTACTGGATGGAAGGGAACAGATGAGGCAGTGTTGGACTGGATGGAAGGAACAGATGAGGAAGAATAGAATAGGAAGAATAGTACTGGATAGAAGGAACAGAGGAGGATAGTGCTGGATTGTTTTGCTAGACTGAATATAACAGAGCAATATATAGTCACATGGTATAGATTAATTTGTGGTACATTGACTAAGAATACAGATTATATTGTATGGTTATTTGTGGTACATTAACTAAGAATACAGATTACAATGTATGGTTGTTTGTGGTACATTAACTAAGAATACAGATTACAATGCATGGTTATTTGTGGTACATTGACTAATAATACAGATTACAATGCATGGTTATTTGTGATATATTGACTAAGAATACATATTACAATATATGGTCATTTGTGGAACATTGACTAAAAATAAAGTGCATGGTGATTGACAGAAAATACCTTAGATTATATCACCAAGCAGTTTCTCCCTCAACATCTTGAGACCCATCACGTGCTCAGCTTTCATCTCATCAGTCATTTGACTAGTGTCCATGCTCATCATTTTTTGATATGATTCTGTCAAGACAGCCTCTCTCCTAAGCCTTGCTACTTCAACTTTTGCATCTGAAATACGGTGTTGAGTCCCTAAAAACTCTTCATGTCGTTTGCTAGCTGCAGCTTGAACATCCATGTACTTCTTCATATCTTCACGTAAACTGTCATCATCATCCTTGCCTTTGCCTTTGCCTTTGCCATTGCGTTGTTTCTTAGCTTCATTCCTCCCTATTGGACGCTCCTTTTCTCCGATATCCTTTTGTGATAGTGTGTCACTTCCATCATCCAAGCTCCGCTTGTGTGGCTTTTCAAGCTCCTCCAAAACAGCATGCCACTTGGGTTCATCACGAAGAACCTTCCAACAGTGCAAAACTGTGAATGGACCTTCGTTAGGATAGTCATCCACATAAAACTGATTAGCAAAGTCTCTCAACTGATCATCTGAATATCCACTAGTATAAACTAATGCAGCCTTCTTCCAGGAGGCGCAGAAAAATCCCACCCATCTCTTAATCCTTTGCCATCGATCTTTGAGATGCTTTACTTCCCTTTTCCGGTTAATAGGTGTAGTGCTGTTGTATAATTCAACTACATCTCCCCAGTAGCTCTCATTCTTCTTGCCATTTCCATTGATCGGATCATTAGAGTGGTACAGCCATGCACTCACCTACATTTAGCATTATGTGTTAGTAAAGTTTCAGAATGATGGTACAAATCCCTGCAAGTTGTCTAAAATTTTACTCACCAACCGCAAGTCCTCATCTGATGCCCATGTAAGACGCTTAGCAGTCCTAACATCGTCACCATCATCTAAGTTGATGACAGGTTTGGCTTTTGACCTTGATCTAGCATGCGTAGTGCCTGAATTAGTTGTTGGTGCCATAGGTGGCATAGGTGGCCATGTTGCTAGGAACAAAACATGAGGTGGGACTAATGGCTGTTGACCAGTTTGTAACATGCTTAGGAAACCACCAGGTGGATGTATATCCATACCACTGAAATATCAGGAGCCAAAATCATGACTATGAGCGAGGAAGAAACAACACATTTCCTATCTGTGCTAAAACATTATTAATTCTACAATCTAAATAGTCTCAACAAAAAGGAATTTGCTTGTTTCCTGCAGAAACAACACACAAGCAAATTGGTTTCTTACCAATCTGAGGATACAGGGCCAAAGGAGTTGGTGTGTGGCAAAGATCCGTTCCACCACCCTGCACATCGTTGAGAGCATCATCAGCTTATTGTTCTACTCCAACATCCAGGAAGCAAGCAAGGCAGAGCCACTGCAATAACCATCAGGTTTGAATGTACGGTACAGTACCTGGTTGGCCTCCTAGAGGAGGAGCCATTGCAAAACTGGCCTGAAAGAAGGCAGACGAGGCAGCGTCGAAGCACCCAGAGGCAGTCGCAGATCCCGATGGCGGCGATGATGGCGGCCGCGGCGGCCGCGAAGCTACTTGTCGTTTGGACCGGCGGCTCATCCTGCTCTACAGCTCGTCGTCGTTGGCAAGAGGAGTGGATTCATCGTTGGGCTCGTGGAAACGGATACGTCGACGCCGACGAGGAAGATTTCACACACTGGAGAAGAAAAGAGGAGGGAGGGTGCAAGGGAAGGATTGGCGCGCGGGTGGCTGGAGGATTTGCGCGGGGGAGAGCAAATTGGCGCGCCAGGGGGTGGGGGAGCGAATTGCAGCGCGCGGGATCGGGCGGGAACGGGGTGCAGCGCGCGGGGGTGGGCGGGAGGTGCGGCGGGGCGATTTGGGGGAAGGGAGCACGGGATCTGATTTTGGCGTGGAAGAGTCGACTGCTGTCTCTTGCGCAGGCTCATACGGCATCGGTAACTGAGCGAGATAGGCGTGGGAATAGGAGATAGATGGATTGATTTTTTGTCTTCTCTTTCCTCCACATAGGATACATGATGATGTGGACATGTTATGAGATAGCTTACATGGCACCATTGGAGGAGGCCTTAGAAAGATACTGGATTTTTTACAATTTAGTCCTTTTGTAAAACTTAATTTGTAAATAAGCTCCTGAAAAACTTATCTCAGAAATAGTCCTTTTTGGGGCGCCAGAGTCGCTGGCGCTATCCTCCTGCCACCGTGGTGGGGCGGCGCTGAGGTGGCAGAGCGAGCGCGCCAGCCCCTCCGCCCCCCTCCCCCGCCATTTTTTCCACTCCTCTCTATTATTAGAGGAGAGAGATGTGCAACTTTTTTGAAAAAAAAATTAAGTTTTTTCACACTTAGGAGTACACA